GTGTGAGAGAGAGAGAGAGAGAGAGAGAGAGAGAGAGAGAGAGAGAGAGAGGAGCTCAATTCATTAAGAGATCAAATCCCTGTAGCTAGAGTTACAGGCAATGTGAGCCCCTGGCATGGGTGCTGGGAGCAGACTCGGGTCCTCTGCAAGAGCAGTCAGTGCCCTAACCACTGAGCCATCTCTCCAGCCCCCCTTCTAACATTGTCTTACTCACTGAACCGTTCGATTATTTCTCTTGCCTCTGCCTCACACTTCCTCCCTCCCCCCTGGACTGTACGTTTTTGCTCTTTTTGCTCCCATCCTCTCTCTCTCTCTCTCTCTCTCTCTCTCTCTCTCTCTCTCTCTCTCTCGTAGTCTCCCAAGACTCAGATCTGACCAGGCCTTTTCTAAGTGTCATCCTCAACATTACTAATGCTCTTTAGTCATACTCAGACCCCTACCGTGGATCCCAAATGCCTCACCCTTCCGGGCAGCCTGTGCTTCCCTGTGCCGGCTGTATCCCATCACCCCCAAAATCCTTACATTCTTGCTACACCTGAACTTGCTGAACATCCATGTCTACTCTGCTCCCATGGGGACCCTCTAGGAGTGCTAAAGAGAAGAACCTCGAGAAATTGGGAACACAGAAACTTAGCTTTAAGATTACAAAGCAGATCTTGGAGTGTGGCTCAGTGGTGGAGAGTCCCCCAGTGAGGGGCTGGGTACGTGGTTCGGTGGTAGAGCCCCTGCCTAGAATCCCACAGTGCGGGGGCTGGGGGCGTGGCTCAGCGGTAGAGCCCCTGCCTAGGATCCCCCAGTGAGGGGCTCGGGGTGTGGCTCAGTGGTAAAGTGCTTACCTTCCATGCACAGGTCCTGAGTTCCATCTGTAGCATGACAAAAAGTATTAATTATTTATTTACTTTTGAGCCGAGAAAACATATATCTCTTGAAGAAAAGTAAGAGAGACCCCTGGAGAATGAGAGGCTCCACGGGAGAACTAACCCAAAATCATTTAAAGTGGAAGCAGAGGACAGGAAGGGAGGAGGTCTGCCCTGATTTCCCCGTGGGTGGTGGAGAGGCATGGCAACAGGAGCCCGGGCAGGATAGAAGCCCCAGGAAAGCTCTCCCTGTGACCTGAATAGAGCAACTGTGACCCTCTGCACTCAGAGTGCCTTCTCTCCAGAATGCAACAGACATGGTCACCCATGCAAACCACACCACAGACAGGCGCTAGCCTGAGTGAGTAGGGGTGACACTCACACGACACTATGTACCAGACATCCAGGGGCCAAAATCGGGTCTAATCATACAACTCCTGATCAGCTCTGCGGGTCAGAAACCTTGCTGCCGTCTCCATATTGGAGCTGGAGAAACAGGCACAGAGAGGTTAAGCCACTGGCGTAGACTCACACAGTAGAAAATGGCTGGAGTTCAGGGGCAGGCAGCTTGGCTCTGATTCTGACTCGGGACAAGAGGCACCTCACAGCCTGCCGTGTCTCAGACAGCAGCGTCCACTCTGAGCCCATTCTCCTCAGCTGTGAAAGGCGCTTCCACACACTTAGCCTCCTGCCCTGTCGGGTTGAGCATCTTCGGACTTGGACCAAGGGTTTCTGCAGCCAGACGCAGTGCTGCGAACGCCTGTCACTTCGGCTCAAGGTCATCTTTGGCTAAATAGTGCGCTCAAGCTGCATGAGACTCCAGAAAGTATAAATATATATAATACATATATTTTTTAAAGGTACTGTTGTTATGCTCCACCTGCAGGAAGGAAGTCTGTGCCAAAGCCCTGGGCCCCTCACCTCTGCAACTTCCTGG